ATACATATACATATTTATGTGTATATATAGCATTTATGTATTATAATATATTATATATATATATATATATATATATATATATATATTATATATATATATATATATATATATATATATATATATATATATATATATATAAATGTATTTAAGCAAGACGTTTACTGCAAAACGAAAAAAATTCTCATTTTGTGTTCCCACTGTCTCAACAAGCACCTTTCGAAATTCGTTTCATTTCCCTAAGCATTCTCGCCAAAACACATTAACTCTGCGCATCACCTTTAATGGCTAGGAAATAATTCCTCTTTTTACGGAGCATGAAAACCCTCCCTTTCCCTTTCTGAACCATTACTAAAGCCTCTTTGCCTCCATCTCCACCCTCCTGCTAAGGCCTTTAGGTTCGGGAGCAATAACCTTTTCCCGCCATTTTTTCCCGCCTTTTTTCTATTTTTGCTTTTTTCCCGCTTTTTTTCTTCTTTTTCTCTATTAGTTTTTTTGATGGGGGGAGCCTTTTGCTACCCTTTTCTCTCTCTTAGTTTTATTTCATTTGCTTTATTTTATTTTTTCCTCTATTTTTTCATCCTCATTTTTTCCTTTATATCTTTCAGCTTCGATTGAAGTTTTATTACTATTTCTTTTATTTCATTTTTCCCGTTTACTTTCCTTCCTTCTTTACACTTAAATATACATATATATTTGAATATCTGCATCTGTGTATGCATGCGTGTGTATTAATAAATATATATATAATATATATATATATATATATATATATATATATATATATATATATATATATATATATATATATTAGTCTGTGTACTAAATCCCCTTCAATATTCCCTCTTTAAATATTCAGTGCCGAAAAATCTTCTTCCAGGTAAATTGGGTGGTATTTGCTTCGTCTTCTTCTTCTCTCTTCTTCTACTTTTCAGCGGATTTATTCTGTTGTTATTCACCCTCGATACAATTTTGATGTCTCCACACTTTATCAGATTTCCTCTCTTCTACTTTCACCACGCTTTTTTTTTCTTTCACCTTCCATTCTTTATCTAACTTTCCTTCTCCCATCTTTACCACCCATTATCTCGTCCACCTCCCATCCTTTATCAGTCTTTTCTCTCTTCCACTTTTACCCGACCTTTTTAATTCCACCCTTTATCAAAATATTCGTTCTCCCACTTTTACTCTGCCTTCCCTCACCCACCCTTATCAGACCTTCTCGCTTCCACTTTTACCAACTCTTCACTCTTCTACTTTTCACCCTTTATCAACCCTTCCTTCTCCCCCTTTTATCTGTCCTGACCTCTTACACTTCCCACTCTTTATCAGCCCTTCCTCCTCCCACTTTTATCATCCCTCTCCTCTTACACTTTCCGCACTTTATCAACCCTTCCTTCTCCCACTTTTATCAGTCCTGACCTCTTCCACTTCCCATCTTTTATCAACCCTTCCTCCTCCCACTTTCATCAGCCCTCTTCTCTTACACTTCCCACCCTTTATCAACCTTTCCTTCTCCCACTTTTATCAGTCCTGACCTCTTCCACATCCCACCCTTTATCAGCCCTTCCTCCTCCCACTTTTATCAGCTCTCTCCTCTTACACTTCCCACCCTTTATCAACCCTTCCTTCTCCCACTTTTATCAGTCCTGACCTCTTCCACATCCCACCCTTTATCAACCCTTCCTTCTCCCCCTTTATCAGTCTATCTCTACCACATCCCACCCTTATCACCCTTCCTCCTCCCACTTTTATCAGCTCTCTCCTCTTACACCACCCTTTATCAACTTCTTCCTCTTCCACATCTTTATAACCCTTCCTTCTCCCCTCTTATCAGTCCTGATCTCCACACATCCCACCCTTTATCAACCCTTCCTCCCTTTACCACCAAACATTCTCTCCCGAGTCTCAGTTTCGAAGCCAAACCGAACACGCAAATGAAGCATCTCTCTCAGGTCCTTTCCCGGCTTCCCTCGTTCGAAACACCGAGAGGTGAAGCTGCTTCGAAGCCTTTGGTTTCTCTCGGGTTGTTAGCTCTTAACTATTATTATTGTCTGGTTTATTGTTACCATTATTGTTATTGTTGTTATCATTATTTGAGAGGGAATAGGGGGAGGGCAGAGAGAGGGTATTGAGGAGGGAGGAGAGAGAGAGAGAGAGAGAGAGAGAGAGAGAGAGAGAGAAGAGAGAGAGAGAGAGAGAGAGAGAGAGAGAGAGAGAGAGAGAGAGAGAATGACAGAAGGACAGAAAGAAAGAAATATTGGCAGAAAGTAGAGCTAGAGAGAGAGAGAGAGAGAAAGTCAGAAAGAGAGAGAGAGAGAGAGACTGTCAGAAAGAGAAAGAGAAAGAGGGAGCAAAAGCGAGAGAGAGGAAGACCGACAACGAGCATAAAGTTTTTCAGAGAGTTGCACCCAATTGATTAATTAAGTTCAATCTAGTTTTGAATTTCGGGAAGGTAGAAATTTAACAGTAGTTATCGTTATGTTTATATACTTTTTTTTCGTCACTCGTTCCTTTTTCCCTCGGCAGATAGAGAAAAAATGGGGGGAAAAAGGTTGAATTTAAAATTACCGTCCTTTAAAAATCGATCTTGTTTGTGTCATGTATGCAAATGGTTCATTAACTTGATATCAGGAGCAGATGTGTGAATACATTTCGGATATGAGGAGAAAAGCGTATTTTTTCCGTCCTCACTTTTTTTTTCATATAGACTTTTGATTAATCTTATATGTTTTTTTTTCTCCTGAGCTTTGTATGAAATTCCCAAACTTTAGCAGTTTATATACATATATGTGTGTGTTTAACCAGGCATAGAGACAGAGAGAGAGAGAGAGAGAGAGGCAGAGGGGGAGGAAAGAGAAGGAAGGAGGGTGGGAGAGAGGGAGAGAGGGAGGAGAGAGGGAAGAGAGAAGAAGGAGGGAGGAGAGAGGGAGGAGAAGGGGAGGGAGGGAGAGAGAGGGAGAGGAAGAGAGGAGGGAAAGGAGAAGAGAGGGAGGGAGGAAGAGGAGGAGGGAAGGAGAGAGGGAGGAAGGGAGGAAGGAAGGGGAGGGAGAGAGAGGGGGGGGAGCGAGCGTTGAATTACGTGAAAGACAGACATTGAAAGAGAGATGAAAAAAATAAACGAAAGAAGGAAACCAGAACAAAGGACTTCAGAAGAAGAAACTCAGAAAAAAAAACAGACGCATAACAAGTGAATAACAAAATCACAGAGCGAGAGAGAACAAAAGACACCAGAAAACAACACACAAAAGAACAAAAGAACAGAGTGATACAAACAGAACTCTTACAAACTCACTAAGAATTTCATTTTTCTTGAAGAACGACTTCCCCTTCCCCCCCCCCCTCTCTCTTCCCTTAATCTCCATACTAGAGAATATCTTGCTTACAATTGAAAATTACAAGAACGCGAAGTAGCCGCTTACAAGAACGCCAAGACAAATATGCGCTTACAAGAATGCCAAGGTAAGTAGGCGCTTACAAGAACGCCAAGACAAATATGCGCTTACAAGAACGCCAAGGCAAGTAGGCGCTTACAAAAACGCCAAGGCAAGTGGGCGCTTACAACAACGCCACGACAGTTCTTTGGTTGGCTGATAACCGACCTTTTGAGCCAAAAGAGTGGAATCTAGTATCTCGGTGAGGAAGATCGTCGATATCCTAAAAGAGCGATCTCCCACCCCACCTCAAAGAGATAAAAGAGAAGAAAAATTACAATGACAGTAGGGAAATCACGACCCTGAGTTTCTTAAAAGAACGACTCCATTTTCCTAGAAAAATTACCCCCCCCCTCCCATTATGAACGATTTCCCTTTTCCCGATAAGAACGTTCACCATTCTTCAAAACGAACGACCGCCTTTTTCCTAAAACTCTCGTCATTTTTGCAAAAAGAATTACCTTATTTTCCTAAAAGATCGATCCTCCAAATTTCCTAAAAAAACTATTCCCATCATCCCCCCATTTCCCTAAAATAACGTCTCCCATTCTCCTAAAAAGAACGCCTCCCTCCGCATTTTCCTAAATCAACCTTCCAATTTTCCTTAAAAAACAACTTCCATCTTCCTTATAAAGAAAATCTTCCCCACATTTTCGTAAGAGAACGGTCCTCATTTCTTTCAAAACAACGCTCCACCCATTTTCCTAAAAGAACGACCCTTCCCTACCACCCCCACCCTCTTTTCTCCCCAACTAATCCATTTTCTGTAATATCCCTCTCCAGGTCTGACCAAATACCCAAGCGCGTGTGTCTGCAGGAAATTGACCATGCTCCACTGCCCTGGAATTGACATCTTAGAAGTCCCGCAAGACATCGACCCAGCTGTCACCGCCCTGTAAGTCTAAGGGGGCGGGGGACGGGGTGTAGGGAGGGGGGGAAGGGAGGAAAGGTCATGAAAGGTCAGGATAGATTTGTGTTTGATCTTGTTGTAGTGATTTTTTTTTAGATTATTATTATTCACTGGGAAGGTAAAGGGACGTCATTGAAAGATGATTTTTTTTTTTTTTTACTTTTTCTTTTTTTTTCTTTGTTTTCACTGGGAGCGTATAGGTGGGTGAGAGGGGAGAGTTCAGGATATGTTTTGTTTTTTGTTGTTTTTTTGCGTGTAGTGTTTTGTTTTATTTTTTTCTGTGTTTAATTGTTTATTTAGCTCTGTTTTTTGTGGAAGCAATGAAGTGGCGTTTAAAATATTTCGTTTAATATCTCTTATTCATTCGTATATAGTTTGAGGCATGGAAATATTTCGTTAAATTTTATTTTATTTATTTATTTTTCATTTCTCTCATTCTTTCGTATATAGTGAATATTATAATATGCAATATTATCCTTCAGTTTTTGCTTACATAAAAACACGCTTTTTCTTGTCGAGTAAAAAAAGAAAAAAAATTATACCAGATTGGAAATTTAATACCGTGGAAAACAAACTTTCGACGAACTTTAAACGCTCGGCTAACAAAATTAAAAGTTTTCTTTCATTTATACGCTTTCACGGAGCAAGAAAGATTCGAG